ACTCGTCCGAGCTAGGTTCTTCAAGAGGCTTCCTGCAGGAGGGGAGGTGTGCTGGAGGTGTCCTGGGGATGTTCTATCTGGGTGGGCCAGATGGGCTCGCCAGGCTGAAAAGCAGGGCAGGCCTCTGTGCTTGTGAGCTGTGTGTCACTGCGATGAAAAACCTGAAGAAATCGCAATTTAAAAGAGGAAGGTGTATTCTGGCTGACGGCTTTGGAGAATTCAGTCCATAGTCAGCTGGATCCGCTGCTCTAGGCCTGTGGTGAGGCAGGATCTCACGTTAGAAGGGCTCGGTGGAGGGCAGTTGCTCACTTCGTGGCTGCCGGGAAGGAGACAGAAAGTAAGGGGTCAGGGGCCAAACACAGTTCCCAAGGTCACGCTGTCATGACCCACCCACTTCAACTGGGCGCTACCTCATTTCCATCTCTGATAGTGCCATCGAATTACGATCTCATAGGTGGCTTAATCCACTTGACGTTAGAGCCCTCACGATCCAGTCACTCCTCTGAAAGCCCATCCCCTGGCAGAAAGCCTGTAAGCATCTGAGTTTTGGAGGACATTTCAAATCCAAACCATAGCAGTGAAACCCAGCGTGGAATGAAACAGACAGAGGGTCTACACTCACGCACACACCCTCCAGGGTCACACCCTGCACCCGATGTCCAGGGAAAGAAGCCAGGAGGAATGACACATCCCATACGATGGACCTCATAGGAAGGTCCAAAACGGCAACGCAAATCCATATTGCTAGAAGTCAGGCGGGTACCGACTCGAAGGGGAAGGGGCCTCTCAGAGCCAGCCGTGTTCTATCTCTTGACTCGGATGCTGCTGTGACAAATCAGCGAGGCGAATGCTTCAGATGTGTGTGCTTTTCTGTAAGTAGATTACACTTAAATACAAAATGTTTTTAAAATGGGAAAGACAAAGAGTCAGCCAGGCCTGATTAGCCGTGCCCTTTGCTTCGTGCCCTCTCTGGCTCCTGCCCACGCCTCAGCTCTGCGGTCCATCTGACACAGGCTACACGTCCCATAGTTAAGCAATGGCCTGACCCTGATCGGGCTTTGGACTATAAGATGCACATAAGACTATAAGGTGGCAGGTGGCACCAGCCCCCTGCTGGACTCTGTCACCCAAGGACTGGGTCTTCAGGTAGGTGCCAGCTCCAGAGGAGGAGGGGCATCAGGATGGAGGAACTAGGTCAGGAGCTGCGCCCACCACCCCCACCCCGGGCTAGAGGGTTTGGGTGAGGATGGGGTCGGGCAGAGGTATCGGAGGGGACCTGCGGGGCAGGTGGAAGAGGAAAGGAGCTGGGTGTGGGAAGGGAGCCATGGGGGAGGGAGGGACAAGAGAAGCCTGAGGCCTCAGAGGTCAAGGCAGGTGCTGGGCCTTGGCTCTAAGAGCATGAGAGGCCACTGTGGCTTTGTGGGTATGTGGCAAGGGACACAAAGCCGCATTTCAGAAAGAGTCATCCCCAGCAGGGCCTGGCGGTACAGGCGTACAATCCCAGAACTCTGGGAGGCTGAGATAGGAGGACCACAGATTCAAGCCCAGCCTGGGCAACTTAGTGAGATCCTGTGTCAAAATGTAAAACTATAAAAGGTCTGGGGTTGTGACTCAATGTGAAGGCCCTGGGTTCAATCCCTAGTAATATTTAAAAAACAGAAAGAAACCAGGGCATGCAGGAGGCCAGTTCCCTTCTGTGAGATATTTTGTTGAAATGGAGAACTCAAACCGAGAGAGTTCCATAGTTCACAGAGATCATTCAAGGCCAGACAGAGGCTTTGAATGCCATGTAAGATGCTTAGACTTCTACCTTCTAGGCAGTCAGGAGCCACTAAAGGTTTAGAGGGAGAGCATATTATTATCCTTTTATTAACTTGTTCATTTTTTTCAATAAATATTTCATTTAATTTATTTAATTAGCTGTCCCAATGGTACCACTCTAGGTAATTAGGGCATGTCAATAAATGAAATCAAGGCACCCCATGCCTCAGAAGTGCAAGGCTCTGAGTTGGATCCCCGGTACCAAAAAAGAAAAAGAAATAAAGGTTCTTTCCTTCAAGGATAACCCGTATCACCAGGAAAAGATGAAAGAAAAAAATAATAAACAAATTAAAGTGCATGTTAGGTGATGGGTGCTTTGAAGAAAAAGAGTAGAGAAGGATGGGGGACTGCAGGGCTGGAGATGGGGTACAGGTGGCAAGATTAAAAAGGTGTCAGAAAGGCAGACTCAGGTATGTTTGGGAAGAGTGGTCCAGGATGAGAACAGCATATGCAAAGGTCCTGCAGCAGAAGGGTACCTGGAGCGTGCTCAGGGACAGCAACAAGGCCAGTGGCTACAGAGAGCCAGGAGAGGCAGAGAAGAGAGAGACAGGGGTCATGGGTCAGGGGAAAGGACACTGGAAGAGGGACTGTGCTGATCCTAGTAGGCTAAGAAAGGCTGTGTGGAGTGGAGCTGTCCCTCCACAGCTGGATGTAGCACTGAGGATCTGAGGGTGGAGAGATGGCAAGAGAAACTGGGAAATGGTTAGCAGATGGATGGAGATGTCCTGTAGGCTGGGACAGTGCACCAAGGTGGGGAATGCAGCTAGAGAAAGAGGGGCAAGAGGAAAGAACTGAGGCCACGGCACCCAGAGGAAGGGCAAGGCTAAGATCCCGATCTCCAGGCTTTGGAAGGGAACAGCGCCCCGTGTCCACTGCTCAGGAAGGCGTGAGGGCGGGACTGGTGTGACTCACAGACCTGACCCATCTGAGCCCAGCAGAAACCAAGGCCCAGGGAGCAGAGAGGTTAGGGACCTTGTCTGAAGTCACACAGCCCAAGGAGGAGAAACCAGAACTCTAACTGTCGCATGTCCAGCTACCATTCCTCCCCGAGGACCTCGTGTCCCCACGGCGTCAAGTGGCCAGCCAGGAGGTTGGCAGAAGTGGGCTGGTCCTGGCAGGGCCTGGATGTGTTCAGCGTGAGGTGGCTGAGGACAGACGGAGCAGTCTGAAAGGCAGCCAGAAGTGGGGGCCCGAGCTGCTGGTGTGGCTTTGGGGCTCTTCAGTGCCAGCCGTGAGCAGAGGTGGGGAGAGGGCACAGGGCCGAGGTCAGAACCCCGGGCTGAGGCAGGTGGCACAGCAGCAGCTAGAAGGAAGGGTGGAGGAGACAGCAAAGAACGCTTGCCAAGGAATGGGGATGCCCAGGAGAGAGTGGATTCTGAGGGACAGTACAAGGCCACACTGACAGGTTGAGCCCAGGGAAGGGTCCCCTGGAGTCTGCTAGCAGGGGCGAGTTCCTAAGTGACCAGGCTCCTACTGGATCCCTCTATAGCAAAGCCCTAGCTATCAAGCCCCTCCCCAGCACACAGGGTGTCCATCAGCTCTTTAGTGGCTCCATCAAAAATACGGATGCCTGCCTATAAAGTCAGATTCCTGGGAGGCTGAGGCAGGAGGATCACAATGTCAAAGCCAACCTGGGCAATTTAGCAAGACCTTGTCTCAAAATAAAAAATAATGGTAGAGAACCTGCCTATCACACAAAATGCCCTGGGTTTAATCCCCCCTCCACTGCAACAACAAATAAATAAAAAATAAAAAGGGCTGGGGATATAACTTAGAGGTAGTGTGCTTATCTTGTCTAGCATGTGTAAGGCCCTGGGTTCAATCCCCAGTACTGAGGGGAAAAAAAGAGACAACCAAGCTCCCACAGCCATCACACATTTGAGGAAAACGTCCAGTTTGAATGACAGTAACCAAACGAAAGCATCAAAGAAACAAAAAGTGAAAAGCAGGTTTATGTGCACATACAACTTGGATAAAAATTAAAATGAGAATCATTTAAGTTGGCAACTAGAAGGTTCAGGCAACAGTTGTCTTTAGGTGATGGGACTGTGGGTGGTTTTCTTGTTATTTGTTTATATTTTCTGAGCTTTCTGTAAAGAACAGCTAATGCTTTGCAAGAAGGGGGAGAGAAAAAGATTAGCACATCGGCAGCTTTGGAGGAAGCAATCTCTGTAAAATGTGTTTGTGAATCAATTTATTCTCCCTTCTCTTTCCATAAAAGATAGGACGAGGCTAGGGACCGGCCAGTGGGTGACTAATCACCCTTTGCCTAGGACAGACCAGTTTCCGGTACAGTCCTGCTCCACCTGGGATGACAGTGACTCTAGACTCCACATCCCTTGTTCCTGTGAGTCTCAAGCCGCTCAGCAAGGACGGCAGGCAGGGCGCGGCCACTCCTATCTTAGAGGAAACCATGGCTGAGGCCCAGGGAAGCTTCCTGTTGCTCTCCTAGGAGAGACGTGCAGAGACGGGAGACTCTGAAACTATGTGCGTGTCACATTGATAGCATTTAATTCTATTTTTAAAGAAGAGATTGGAAATCTAACATGACAGGAAGCAAGCAAGCTTGGGAAGGGTGGGGCTTAAAGGGTCACAAGCGATGGGGATATTCTACATCTTTATTGTGGCCGGGGTTTTATTGTGGCTGTGTACAAAGTGCCAAACTCACTGAATCGGACAATTTAAAGGCGTGTGGCTCATTTCACTTAAATTGAAAGCATATGAGAAAATGAGAGCCAGCACTGGTCCCAGGGGATTCACAGCTGGCCCAGACCCGATCACCTGCTCTGGTACATGGTGTGATCAAAATAGTGTGTGTTTACATTAAAACAATTTTTTACAGGAAAAGGCACATTGTATTAATTCCCCTCAAAAATCCTCCCGCTCTCTTCAAACACTTATTCCCTGGTTCTCGCCACTTTCTGAAGCAGTTCCGGATGTCCTCTTTCCTGAGGGTCTTTAGGTGGAATCAAAAACACAGAGTGCCCCTGCTGAGTGTCACCCAACAAGCAAGAAAGCAGGCTTGTAAAAACATTGTGCTGTGTCCTCACCTGCCTTATTCATGGCATCTACCTCGGTGTGACTCCTGGCCCTTCCCCAAAGTCCAGCTAACTCCCTGAAGGGTCAGTTCAACCCCCCAGGAGGCTGCCACCTCACTGAACTGTCCTTTCTGTCCCCAGGACTCCAACCTCACCGTGTACACAGAAAACCCAGACCTCACTCCATGCTTCCAGAACACCCTGCTGGCCTGGGTCCCCTGCATCTACCTGTGGGTTGCCCTGCCCTGCTACCTGCTCTACCTGAGGCACCATCATCATGGCTACATCGTCCTTTCCCACCTATCCAGGCTCAAGACGGTCAGGGCTCCGGGCTCTCCTCCTGGTGGGGCTGGGACTCCTCCGCCCAGGGGCTGGACTGGTGCCCACCCTCTCCAGCCCTATGGCCCTGGGCCACGGCTCTGGCCAGCTGCGTCTGCAGCCAGCCAAGTTGAGTTCCCTGCCTGGGGAAGTTACTTCCTGTTCAGCCCCAGCAGCTTCCCACCCCACCCCAGGGAGCTTCTGCCCAGAGCCCCCACCCCAACTCCAGCCCCTGCTCCTGGTCCAGGCAGGTGTGGTGGCTTCTGATGGCTTCAGGAGCAAAGCCCCCTCCCCGGCCGAGACTGTCCTACCTCTGGGGATGGGGACTCCAACCTGTGCCCTGTTCACAGACCCTGGGCGTCCTGCTGTGGTGTGTCTCCTGGGCAGACCTCTTCTACTCCTTCCACAGCCTGATCCACGGCGGGACCCCCGCTCCCATCTTCTTTATCACCCCCCTGGTGGTGGGGATCACCATGGTCAGTGCGGGGCCCCGGAAGTGGGGTGGGTTGGCCAACGTGGGCTGTGGATTGTGACTGGGGTCCTGTGGGCTCTGAGGAGAAGGCTGGGCGCCCCCAGAGGAGGACGGGGGTGCCTCCAGAAGCCATCAGGGTGGGGAGGCACAGAGGCAAGTCCAGATGTGTGGGTCCAGGGGTGCGTGCCCCAGCCCAGCCTCCCTGCCCGCCCCACTCAGGTGTTGGCCACGCTGCTGATCCAGTATGAGCGGCTGCGCGGGGTGCAGTCCTCGGGGCTCCTCATCATCTTCTGGTTCCTGTGCGTGGTCTGTGCCATCGTCCCCTTCCGCTCTAAGATCCTCTCAGCTGTGGCGGAGGTAAGGTGTGGGCCGAGGTCACTGCTGGGTTCCAGGCCCGCCACCCCTCTGCTTGGCAGTCAGTAGCTGTGTTGCTTCTGCTGCTTCTCCCGTGGCTTCGTCGCAGTGGGGAGGCAGGCAGGAAATGGGTCAAACAAGCCGCACCGCTGGCTGCTCTTGGGGATGCAGCAGGCATCCCACCCCCGCCCGCACCCCAGCGCTTGTCTGCCGGTGCCTTCTGTCCACAGGGCCGGTGTTTTGCATGTGCATAAAGAGCCCCATCTTCCCCCAGGGCCCTGCTGCTGTGTTTCCCTTGCTCATCTCCTGGCCTTCCTTCTGCTCCCAAGGGTGGGAGGCTGTGACCGCCCCCTTCTCCCTCTTGGTAGGAGCCAGCAAGGGGTGCAGCCAAGGCCATAGGCTCCAAACCACCCCCTGAACCCCTCACAGGACCTTGGCATGGTGCTTAACCCTTCAGAGCCTCGTGCCCTCACTGCAGAGCTGGCAGGGAATAAAGCTTCCCGGGCCTCAGGCTGAGGCACAGCGGTACGGGGCACGGGCCGGCACATGCCCGGTGCTGGGCGAGTCCTTACCCGGCCACAGCCCCCTTGATCATTCCCCCGCCTCACAGAACCCCCTAGATGAGGCCCCCGAGGCCCCCAGGGCTGCCTCCCACCCCAGAGAAGCCCGACACCCCAAGGGGCTCCCCAGGGCAGGGACAGCAGGCTGGACCTCTGAGCCTCCTCCTGATGTCTTCTCCTGTCCCCCCAGGGGGCCATCTCAGACCCCTTCCGCTTCTCCACCTTCTTCATCTACTTTGCCCTGGTGCTCTCTGCCCTCATCCTGTCCTGCTTCAGAGAGAAGTCACCACTTTTCTCCCCGAAGAATGAGGACCCTGTGAGTTTGTCCTGGAGGCTGTGGGGCTCCACGGAGGGTGTGGGGGTGCCATGGCCTGCTCCTCGATCCACCCCATCCTTCTGAAGGAGGGAGATGTTGTGCTACAGTCTGTAAACTGAGGCTTGGAGCAGGAAGCGGTGAGGCCTTCCCTTCTCCCACTGTGCTTTGAAGGGTTGGGGGACACCCCTGACTCCTTACCCCACTCTCTCACCTCTAGAACCGCAGCCCAGAGGCCAGCGCTGGCTTCTTGTCACGCCTGACTTTCTGGTGGTTCACAAGGTGAGCTGTCTCTTGCTCCTGCCTGGACCACTGGGAGGGAGAGATGCAGGAAAGGGAGGGTGGGCCAGAAGCTGGGGACCTGAGGAGGTGGCTTTGCTCATGTCCCTACTCCCGGGGCACAACTGGGCAAGGTGGGGAGGTCAGGGCAGGGTCCTGGCCCAGCTGTGCTCCTGGGCTGGAAGCTCTGCATTTGGGTGCCGCAGGGACAGGCCCAGGGGGCAGGAAGGAACCATAATTCGTTCTGAGTGCTCCTGTCTGGAAGTGGCTTGCAGCTTGTCATCTCCTTGGCTGCCCCTCAGAGTGGCTTGAGCAGGATAATTGTGTCTGTGACCTGGGTGACAACTCATTAACCACCCCTCACCGGGAAGCACCTGAGGCCGGGCTAAATCCATCCTTATCCAAGCTCAGCCAGCAGCCAGCCCAGTGATTTCATCACCGGGGCCTGGGGACAGATGGGGCACCTGGGGAGGAGGGGAAGGAGGAGACATCCACCTGCAACCTGTTCCCTGAGGAGACGTTTGAGACACCTCCCTTGCTCCTTTTCTGGAGACCTTGGGGCCCCAGAGACCCTGGCCACCAGTTTCAGTTGCTAAATTCTGAGCCTATGTGGGGCTTTCTGTCCCCTGCCTTCGCACAGTCTAGCCATCCTGGGCTACCGGCGTCCCCTGGAAGATGGGGACCTCTGGTCCCTGAAAGAGGAAGACTGTTCCCACAAAGTGGTACAGCAGCTACTGGAGGCATGGCAGAAGCAAGAAAGGAAGACGGCAGGGTGAGACCCTCCCCTCAGGACACCTCCGGCCTGCAGGGTAGGCCTGGGTGGGGCCTGGGGCCCCGGCTGTGCCAATGACTAACACTCACTCTGTCCAAGTCCTGGCCCTTGGCACCTAGAGCAATACATTTCATCTTTCGCCGGCCCCAGAGTTCACTTCTGACGTGCCCGTGATACGCAGGGGGACACTGAGGCACCAGAGGTTCAAACGGTGTCCCCACTGGTGGTGGCAGAGCTGGAATCCTTGTCCTGCTCTCTGGCCCAGAGGTCCCGCTCTTACCATTGTTCTCCCCTGCCTGAGCTCGAGGGCAGATTCATGGGCCTCCTGTGGGAGAAGGGCCAGCCCCCTCCATCCTGTCCCCTCCTGTCTGGAGGCCTCTACAGCTGAGGGGCCTTTGGCCTGGTAGCCTCACATCCAAGATCCCAGACCTATCTCCCAGCAACGGCCCAGCAAAGAGAGCCTGAGCAGTCGTGCTTTACTCAGCCCCGTGCCCCCTGATGGTCGCTGGTGGTCGGAGAAACCAAGGATTTGGGCTCCATAGCTGCATTTCTGCTTTCAGGGCTCCAGACCACTGGGAAGGCCTATGCCCCACCCCATCCCGGCTGACTACTCTGTCCCCCCACGCCATCTCCGTCCTCTCCCTGTTCTGCTGCTGGGAGAGTAGACCACTGGCCTTCCTCCTCCTCGAATCCTCGCTGGAGCCGCCCCTGGGGAGGCAGGGAGGGCCAGAGGCTGGGAAGAGTAGGGCTGAGAGTCCAGCCACCCTCAGAAACCCTCAGTAGTTGCAGACAGAGTCACCTGGGAATCCTCATGCTGTCTGTCCCCCTCCCAGTTCCCAGAGCCAAGGAGACAGCTCCTCAGGTCCTTCTGCTCCCCTCCCTCAGTCCCACCTGGCTGGCCCGGCCCTCGAACTCACTGGTGCCCATTCCTGCCCTGCCCCTTCCTCCCCAACCAGAGCCAAGGCTGCAGAAGCTGGGAAGAAAATCACCTGCGAGGATGAGGTGCTACTGGGGGGCAAGCCCCGGGCCCGGGAGCCTTCTTTCCTGTGGGCCCTGGGGGCCACTTTCGGCTCCAGCTTAATCATCGGCAGCTTGTACAAGCTGATCCAGGACCTGCTCAGCTTCGTCAACCCACAGCTGCTCAGGTCTCGCTACCCTGCCTCCCTGGTGCTGCCCTTAGGGCTGGGCCCCGGTGGTGAGGAACGAAACTGTGTGATCCTTAGCAAGTGGCATATGTCCCTGCACCCCCGTCTCCCGACGGACATTCCACTTCTATTTGGGGGACACACTATGGATCAGGCTTGGGTTCCTTCCAGGCCTTCCTCTGTAACTCATTCCTGTTCTACCGGTGCCAAAGCAGACCCTCAGCACAGACAGGAGAAGCGGCTTGGCCAAGGGCGTACAGATGGCAAACAGGAGTCAGATGACAGGGGTCTGAATTGCAGCCTCGCTGTCACGTGAGAGCGTGGACTAGAAGGGGCTGTCCAAGGACAGAGCGGGGTGGAGAACTGCCTAGCAGCTGAGCCCCCGGCCCCTTGCCCTCCCTGTGCACATTCATTCATCAGGGCCAGAATGCTGCTAGACACCAGGGAGACCGAGATAATAAGACTCCGCCTTCAGGCACTGTGGGAGAAACCATGCAGAATTCAATGAGAATACAGCAGGAGGAGGTGCACCAGGTGTCCAGAAAATCCCGGGTGGGGCCAGGAAGGTGGGCTGGGACCGCAGGGACAGGAGCTTGGCAGGCCTGGAGGCACAGGTAGGTGTAGAAGGAAAGGCAGCCTGGGCAGTGACAAAGGGCTGATGCAGTATGACTCAGGACTCCAGGTGGCTCTCACTCACAGTGGAGCAAAGGGCAAGGAGGGAGGGGCAGGAAGCAAAACCAGGGAGGGGCATCTGGTCTGCATTTCAGAAGGATGGCACTGCCACCAGTGTGGGAAGTGTAGGGCAGGGCCGCTGGGTGGAAGCTGGCCAAGCAGGTCAGATGGGCATACGGGTGGGAATGGGATTCAGAAGCTAATAGGAAGATGGGTGTGTGCCTGGGTGGGGGAAGCCACCGGCAGGCTGGGTTTATCCTAAGTACCTGGAGGACTTTGGCCCTTTCACACTATGATGAGCTCAGGAGGACGAGGAGGAGGCAGAGACCGGGCATGGGGTAAGCAGGTGGGCTGAGTCTGGCCAGAGGTGTTGGTGGACCCAGATTCCCAGCGAGCTGGAGAGTGCATCAGCAGATCTATGACCTCGAGCCTGGGGCTCAGCTCTCCCGAAGATTCAAAGATTCGAAGCTTCGAGGGAGGAAAAGGCAGGAGGGCCCCAGCAGAGCCAGGGATGCCAACTGGTACAGGGAGAGCCCTGGATGGTCCCTCAGGGTCAGATCTGGGCACAGAAGCTGGGGTGAGGGGCAGAGCACAGCCTCCAATGCAGAAAGTTGAGCTGCAGGCTGGATCCCGCAGAAGGTGACAAGGAGTTGGTCAGTGACTGAGTCAGAGGGGGAAGGGACTTCCTGCCATGCAGCCAGAGGCCTGGAAATCCAGAAAGATGCAGAGAGCTGTGTGGTTTGCAGGGCTGCCCCAAAACATTGGCACCGACCAGAGGCTCAAAACAGCAGAAATGCATTCTCCAAATTCTGGAGGCCAGAGATCTGAAACCAAGTGTGGGCACAGCTGGGTCTTCCTGGCGGGCGCGAATGAGGATCTGTCTGCCGCGTGCCTCTCCCCTGTGTCTGCTGCCGCCAGCAGTCCTGGTGTTCCTAGTGTAACTCTGTGTCACGTGGCCTTCCCTGTGCGTGTCTGTGCGTGTAAACCACCTTCTCCTTCCTTCTGTTTAAGACACCCACCCCCACATGACCTCATCTTTACTTAGTTACAGCTGCCAGGCCCTGTGTCCAAACGGGGCCACATTTGTAGGCAGCAGGGTCAAGGCCTGACTGGCGGCACAGCTCAACCCCTACAAAGGGGGAGGCCTGGCTCTGGGATGGCTGGTGGCTCCATGCACTCAAGGGAAAGAAAGTTCACCCCACCATGGAGAGACCCAGTCAGGTCGATGAGGGAAGGCCCAGGGCTGCCTGGGGAGGGGAAGCTACTGAGAATCACAAGACCCTGGGCCTGTTCCTGTGGAGGCGGCTGGGAACCAGAGCTCAGGGAGGCAGGATCAGGCTTGAAGTACTGGAGAGACACCCTCCCTTGAGGCAGGAGCAAAGGGCGTGGCAGGTATATGGAGGGCAGCTTGCAGGTGACAGGGCGATTAAATGGGAAGACGGGGAGCTGCTGAGAGGGGCAAGGTCGGAAAAGAGGGAGGACGAAGCCCGGGAGAGGAGGTGGACGAGAGCCCAGATGGTGTCGGAAGGGTGGATTGAGGGGCGAGAGTCTATGTGGCCCTGTGATGTTCTCCAGAATCTTCTGCAGCCCAGGAGAGGGAGAGGGCAAGCCCTACTCAGTAGCAGTGTGGCATTGCTTCCTGCCACGTGGTTCTAGGAGGTGACAGGTGGCCAGCTGTGTTGGCACACAGCTATGATCCCAGCATTCGGGGAGGTTGAGGCAGGAAGATTGAAAGTTCAAGTCCCACCAGGGCAAGTTAGCAAGATCCTGTCTCAAAGTAAAAAATATTTTTGAAAGTCTAGGGATGTAGCTCAGTGTAAAGGCCCTGGTTTCAATCCCCAGTGCTGAAAAAAAAAAAAAAAAGGAGAAGAAGAATAAGAAGAAAAAAAAAATGGTGAGAGGCAGCGGGTGGGGCTGATAGTGAGAGAATGACAGAGTTGGGCCCCTGAGGTACAGGGAAGGGGACCTTGAGATCCCATGCCCTGGCCCAGGTTGGGGCAGGGAGGGCCCAGGAGCGCCCATCCTCACGCCACCCCCACCCTCCCCTGCAGCATGCTGATCCGGTTCATTTCCAACCCCGAGGCCCCCTCCTGGTGGGGCTTCCTGCTGGCCGGGCTGATGTTTGTCAGCAGCATGATGCAGACCCTGGTCTTGAACATGTGTTACCAATGCGTCTTCACAGCGGGCCTGAGGGTCCGCACGGGGATCATAGGCCTCATCTACAGGAAGGTCAGTGGGAGCGGGGCACTGGCGGGGAGGGCCTGTCCTGGTCAGTGCGGGACGGGCTCGTGAGCCTGGGTCATTCTCTGCTGTCCCCTGCAGGCGCTGGTCATTACCAACTCAGTCAAACGCGAGTCCACGGTGGGAGAAATAGTCAACCTCATGTCAGTGGATGCTCAGCGTTTCATGGACGTCTTCCCCTTCCTCTTCCTGCTGTGGTCAGCCCCGCTGCAGATCTTCCTGGCCATCTACTTCCTTTGGCAGGTGACCCTTCAGCCTTGACCTTGCTCTCTCCCTCTCCCTGCCTTCCTTTTGACTCTTTGGCAGAAGGGACAAGAAGGGGTCAGCCTGGGTCACACACACGAGAGCTTCCCTAGGTCCTGGAGTCTTGGCTGCTGACGTCTGCAACTGAGCCTTTCCTGCCTGCCTGGGGACTTGGAGGCGGTGTGGGTGTGGCTTGGGCCATCGTGGCCTATCTGTATGCACTGGCCTTCCGGTGTGTCCTGACAGCCTTCCAGGTCTGCTGTCTGTCGTCATTACTGATGGAGAGCTGGCCCCACCAATGTCACGGTCATTCTGGTTTTCTGTCCTGTCTGGCTGACTGACATCTTCCCCTCCCATCCGTCAAGTTTCAGGTCCCTGTTGAGTTCCACCTGTTGGGTTATCTGTCCATCTGTCTGACTGACCTCCTGTGCCTCCCCAGATTCTGGGTCCCTCTGTCCTGGCTGGTGTGGCGCTCATGGTGTTGCTGATCCCAATCAATAGCGCCTTGGCCATGAAGATGCGAACTTACCAGGTGAGTGCTGTCGGAGGCAGGCACCCAGCCAGGCTCCTGGGGGCCTTTTACCTTCCTTGCTTCTGGGTAGGGGCACCCACAAGCCACTTGCACAAACCTTAGCTCCCTCTACCCTCCCCATAGACCAAGGTCTGGGAGATTACAGCAGTCCAGAATGTGGCAGTGCTGGGACTTGAACCTGGGCCTAATGAGAACTTTTCCTACTCTGCTGTGCATAGATTGGCATAGAGGGTCAATCATTTAGTCCACCTGTAAACATTTATGGAAGGCTTGGGCAGCTTCCCGCTGCATGTAGAATAAAAGACCAACACCCTAAGACCACCCACCGGGCTCCCTCTGCCCTTGTAAATCCTCATCTCCTTGGTATGGCCAAAATTCAGCCAATCTGGCCTGCTCTCTTTTCTCCAAGAACTAAGTCCTTCATGCCTCTTGTTTTGTTTTGTTTTGTTTTGTGAGACAGGGTCTTGCTATGTAGGTCAGGCTGGTCCCCTAAACTCACCATGAGGCTTAGGCTAGCCTCAAACTTACAGCAATCTTCCTGCCTCAGCCTCCCCAAGTGCTGGGATTACAGGAGTGCGTCACCACAGTTCTGTGTACCTCTGAGCCTCTGTCCAACACTTCACCCCCTGTGCGCTTCTCTAACTCCTTTCCTTCCTCATCTTGGCATAAGCTGGCTTCCTCCAGAGGCCCACCTGGTTCCCCACCCCTCCCTACTGTTCCTGCACAGCACCCTCTTATTTTCCCTTTAGAAGACACATAATGACTTGTGATTAAGCCTTATGCAGGTCATTAGTTCTCATTACCTGCCTCCCTCCTCAGACTTACCAGCTGTGAGACAGAGGAGGCACTCGGTCCATAGGGCTTGAGTGGATAAGTTAATCTGAGGCCCCGCGTGAGGGTCTGAGGGGACGAAGAAGCCAGCAGCGCAGACCCTTAGGAAGCTCAAGTGTCTAACTGGGGACAGGGAGAGGGGCAGTGATGGAAACCAAGGAAAGCACAGTGGGCTTTGGGCTCACAGGCAAGAGACAGAGGATGCTGCCTGGGACAGTCAGAAACAGTGGCACTGGGAATGGAGCTGGATTTTCCAGGCAGAGGACATGGGGAGGAGGAGGTGGCGGTGGGCACCCCACGTCTGGCCGGGAGCGGGAGGCAGCGAGGGAGGGGCTTGCAAAGACGGCCGCGATGCAACGCAATGCAACGCGCGGAGGGGAGGGGACCAGATGTATCACTGCCGCTCTCTGCACTGCACAGGTGCAGCAAATGAAGTTCAAGGACTCGCGCATCAAACTGATGAGTGAGATCTTGGCAGGCATCAAGGTGCTGAAGCTGTATGCCTGGGAGCCCAGCTTCCTGGAGCAAGTGGAGGGCATCAGGGAGCGCGAGCTCCGGGTGCTGCGCAAGAACACCTACCTCCAAGCCATCTCCACCTTCATCTGGATGTGCACCCCCTTCCTGGTGAGCCTGCCGCTGGGGCTGGGCTCCGCCTCCTGCTCGGCCAGCCCAGGCCCCACGTGACACCCACCGCCACGCTCCCCAGGTGACCCTGACCACCCTCGGGATGTACGTGTGTGTGGACCAGAACAACGTGCTGGACGCCGAGAAGGCCTTTGTGTCCCTGTCCTTATTCGATATCTTAAAGGCACCCCTCAACATGCTGCCCCAGTTAATCACTGGCATGACCCAGGTAACTCGCGGGGCTGGGCTTCTGCGAGAGTTAGGGCAGGGGGTGAGGTCAAGAGAGGGTCGCTTAGGGTCAGGGGCGATCAGTGAGAGGCCCTGGAGTCGGAGTCGTTTGGCGACAGCCTCTGTGTTCCGACCTGGACCTTATCGCTGAGAAGTGGGAGCCACGGAACACACGGTCGTGGGAGGGATCCCAGCACCAGCGAGTGGGCCCTTGGCTGGAAGGGACCTGCCTAGCTCCGGAAGTTGGGGACCAAACAAGGGTAGCAGGGGTGGGGGATGGGACTGACTCACACCATCCCGCAGACCAACGTGTCCCTGAAACGGATTCAGCATTTTCTGAGTCAGGATGAACTGAACCCTCAGTGCGTGGAGAGAAAGACCTTCTCCCCAGGTCCGGAAACCTCTACCGGGGCTGCCCTCATCCCAACTCTGACTCCAGAGCAGCCTCTGTTCTGAGCCTTCTCATTCTGCTGCTCCCAGGTCCTCTGCGCCCTGCCCCTGCCTCCTCCTCAGCTGCCCCTTCTCCTCTGCCTTCCTCCTGGGATGCTGCCCCATCCCCCTGTCGTCCCCCCCCGCCGTGCCCAGCATGCTCCCCCAGCCCTGGGCTCTCTGACCCTGTGCACCTTGATCTTCCAGGCCATGCCATCACCATGCACAATGGCACCTTCACTTGGGCACAGGATCTGCCCCCCTCCCTACACAGGTACCCACAGTGGGCGGGAGGCCGGGTCAACAGCGGCAGCCTGTCTCCCTGTGTTCTCCACTGGGAATTCAGGAAGGGAAGCACCTCCTCTTGCCAGGGAGACACCTGGAAGGGAGGAAGGGTTGGGTCGGCCTGTCGTAGCCTGGGGACCAAACGGGATCCCGGCCTCTGATGGGGTCTCCTTGCTCCCAGCCTAGACATCCAGGTCCTGAAAGGGACTCTAGTGGCCGTGGTGGGGCCCGTGGGCTGTGGGAAGTCCTCGCTGGTATCTGCTCTGCTGGGAGAGATGGAGAAGCTAGAAGGCACGGTGTCTGTGCAGGTGAGCAGGTGCGGGCTCCTGGTGAGGCTCGGTCAGGGATGGGCAAACCCCAAGGTGACCTGACCTTCTCCTGTGGCCAGGGCTCCGTGGCCTACGTGACCCAGCAGGCATGGATCCAGAACTGCACGCTTCAGGAAAACATCCTGTTCGGCCGAGCCATGAACCCTAAGCGCTACCAGCAGGCTCTGGAGGCCTGTGCCCTGCTAGCCGACCTGGAGATGCTGCCTGCTGGAGACCAGACAGAGATCGGAGAGAAGGTACAGGGTCTCTGCCCATCCCAGGGGAGCCGGCACATAAACCTGCCCACCTCGGCCTTGCCCAGGTGTGTATTCATTTACTCATTCGTGTAACATCATAGCCAGCTCTGTGCCAGGCCCTGGGAAGGAGGTCTCTGACCAGGGGAGGCCAACTCATGAAGAGGTAGGGGCCATCGAATTCTCTGAAAGCCTGGGTACAGGGTACAGGGAGGGTGCTGACAGGAATCCATGTGAAGAAAGGCATCATGTTTGAGTCTTAAAGACTGAGGAAGAGGAGCACATCAACTATCCAACTATCCATCCCTTAGATTTTTATTAAGCACCTGCTATTAACCAAGCAATATTGCACAGTAGTGAATTCAAGAAGCTAAAATCTCTGCCTTCAAATACCTTGCATTCCATTGGGAAAGAAACGATAAGCAAGATAAGTAAAACACATAATACATGAGGTAACACTAAGGGGAAGAAATAAAGCAAGGCAGGAACACAGGAATATGTGCAGGCTGGGTTGTTAGAGTAGCTTGAGAGGGCTGGGCCCTTAGCTCAGTGGTTCTGCCGCCTGCCTTGAAAGCGCAAGTTCCCGAGTTCGATCCCCAGTACCAAAAGAAAACCTCTGTCCTTAGAGTAGCTTGGGAAAGCAACACCGAAAAATGGAGACCGGAACAAAAAGAAGGATCAAGTCCTGCTGGGGCCAGAAAGCCCTGTGTGAGGAGACAGAGCCCTGGCTGCGGCCATGGGAGTCTTTCTAGGGGCTGTCAAGACACAGAAGGAAGCTCAAAGTCTCAGGTAGGAGAGCAGCCTGAAGGACGTTTGATCAGCAAGGAGACCAGGAGGCAGGGATCAGGCAGAGAAAATGAGACCGGAAGGGTAAGCAGGCAGCCAGGTCATTCAGGACCTTGCTGGCCACTTGAAGCTGTGGCAGAAAGTGACAGAAAGCCATTGGAAGGCCTGGACTGGATGGCATTCCCATGCTGTCTCCCTGCCCAGAGGTGAGAAGATGGGAGAGGGTACGAGGCAAGGCAAGGCAGGGTCATAAAGACTTTCGGAGGGCCGGGGATTTGGCTCCGTGGTTCTGCTGCCTGCCTCGCAAGTGCAATGGCCTGAGTTCAATCCCCAGTACAGACTTTTGGTTAAGATTTTGGTCTTTACTTTAAAAAACATGAGACATTTTGGGGTTTTGAAAAATGATTTATTTAATTAACTTCATGTTCATTAAGTCATTTTGTTGTTTATGGGGGCGGTAACCCAGGGGCTTCAAGCAGGCTAGGCAAGTGCTCTCCAGTTGAGCTACGCCTCAGCCTTTTTAAAAAAATTTCCAGACAGGGTCTCACTAATCTGCCCAGGTGGGGCTCAAATTGAAATTTTCTTGCCTCATCCTCCCAAGTAGCTGAGATTACAGGCATATACCATCTCATCTGGCTTTATTTATTTACTTACTTGTTTTGTTTTTGTTTTTTGAAACAGGGTCTCACTATGTAGTCTGGGCTGGCTTTGAACTTATTATGTATCCCAGGCTGGCCTCAAACTCAAAATCTTGCTGCTCAGCTCCCTGAGATGCTAGGATTATAGGCATGTACCACCATACCCTGCTTAACTTATTTTTACTTGAGGTAAAGTGTACACAGCATAACATACTGCCATTTTTCAACATGCAATTTGGTCACGCGAAGTGCATTCACACTGATTTGCAACCATCTCCAGAACCTCTGCATCTTGTCGAACTGGAAATCTGTCCCCACGGAACAGTCACTCTCTAGTCCTCCACCACCAACACTCGTTTCTCTGCTTCTCAGAATTTGACTACTCCGGGCTCCTCGTGTTGGCGGACACACACAGAGCTTGTGTTTTTTGTGACCGGCTTATTCCACACAGTGTAGTGTCCCCAAGACAAATGCTGGTTCTCAGGCTGGGTGGCATCGAGTGTAGGATGTACCACTGCTGACTTTCTGTTCATCCATCCACGGACCCTGAGTTGGCCAGGGCCACCAGCTGGCAGGTGGCAAAGCAAGAAAGAAGGGAGGTTTCAGCCGTCCAGGAGGACTCTGAGAGCCACCACCCCTTTCTTGGTGGCCCCCAGCTTCTAGACAGTGGGGCACCCTATAAAATGTGGATCTAAAGGCCTGCCTTGCTGTGTGACTACACAGTTCCTTATCCCCAGGGTGTGTCTGACCCCTCAACCCAGCACCCACCTCTATCTCCTCCTCCTTCCAGGGCATTAACCTGTCTGGGGGCCAGCGGCAGCGGGTGAGTTTGGCCCGAGCCGTTTACAGTGAAGCCGATGTTTTTTTGCTGGATGACCCACTGTCAGCTGTGGATGCCCATGTGGCCAAACACATCTTCGACCACGTGATTGGGCCAGAGGGTATGCTAGCGGGCAAGGTAAGGCCACAGGGTAGGGGCCAAGGCACGCCCTACACCCTAGGAGGAAAACGGTGGGAGGCACAGGGGTTCAGTGAAACCTGGGGGTCCTGAGAGGCAGGAGCATGGCCCGGATGGCAGGGAAATCAGTGGGGGGACACCCTGTAGGCTGTGGTGAGCACGAGGTGAGTTGTGGCCATCCCCATCTGTGCCCCCTGGCACACCCCCAAGGACGGTGAGACCAGAGCCTGCTGTCTTCTCCGCAGACTCGGTTGCTGGTGACACATGGCATCAGCTTCCTGCCCAAGACGGACTTTGTCATAGTGCTGGCCAATGGGCAGGTGTCTGAAATGGGCCCCTACTCAGCCCTGCTGCAGCATGATGGCAGCTTTGCCAACTTCCTCCACAACTACGCACCCAATGAGGATCAGGAGTCCCGTGAGGACCACAGGATGGGTATGCACCACACTGGCCCCCCTGAATTCCATACGCTACCAGCCTCTCCCCAGCCTGAGGCCTTCTGGGAAACACGGGCCATCTGTGTGACAGTCAGACCGGATGTCACCAGAGGGAAAGTAAATTGGAGGCAGATAAGTTCCACTCCCTCCTCTTTCCAAAGAGACCTCGGATCGGCAGGTCAGGCCTCAAGAGCTTTCCTTCCCTCTGTCAAAAGGGTCCATGGGCTCAGGCCCCAAGGGTACGGCAAAGCTGCTTTATGGATAAGCTGTTTAGCAAATGTACAAGTGTTTAACAGAAACGTTTGCTTATGGACCAAGATGTATTGAACAGTGACTGCAGGCAGGCACTGTTCCAGACACTGAGAGATAGAGTGGTGAGCAAATGTAATCTCCCTGTGCTCAGGGATCCCAACCCTAAGCTCTGGGTTGGCTCACAGGACTTTTCCTGAGCTCCCTGCCCACCACCTTGGGCATTCGCCAAGTACCGTTCCCCATGCAGGATGCTTGACCCACAGCCTTCTCCCTCTGGTACTCACAGAGATGCCATGAGCCAGGTAGCATGATTTTTCCTTTCCTGTACCTGCCGAATGTCATGCATGCAGAAAGTGGGACCTCAGCTCAGCCTGTCGGACTCCAGAGCCCAAGTCCCAGCCCTGACCCTTGAGTTCCCTTCTCCGTGGCCCCTGGAGGAAGTGTTTCACACTGTCTTTCTGGGTGTCCTTCCAGACTCTCATCCTTTCTCATGCTTGGGCATCAGGCCCCTCATTGGAGTGAGGGTTGCAGTGCAGGGTGACAGGCAGCACTGTGCGTCCGCCTCTCCCCTCTGCAGCCTTGGAAGAGGAAGATGAGGAGATGCTGCTGATTGAGGACACGCTTAGCACCCACACAGACCTGACAGACACCGAGCCGGCCCTGGCCGAGGTCCGGATGCAGTTCGTGAGGTGAGCCCCTGAGCGCCCCCAGCCCCCCACAAGGCTGCGGTAGGGCTCCAGAGCCCTGGCAGTGGGGTGCAGGCGGATGACACTGTCGTGGGGGTGTCAGAGGCCACCTGTCGGGGTCTGACCTGCTGCTTCCACAGACAGCTGAGCAGCATGTCTTCAGACGGGGGCGGCCAGGCTCGGCCGCGCAGACACCTCAACGTATCGGAGAAGGCTGTGCAGGTGAAGGCAACAGAGGCTGGGATGCTCATCCAGGAGGAGAAGGTAGAGACTGGCAAGGTGAGCAGGGCGACACGGGCAGCAGAGGCTGGACGAGCCGGGCCCGGCAGCTCATGGAGTCCTCTGACCCCAACTGCCGTGCCACTCCCCGCAGGTGAAGCTGAGCGTGTTCTGGGATTATGCCAAGGCCCTGGGGCTCTGTACCACGCTGGTTATCTGCATCCTGTACGTGGGCCAAAGCGCAGCCTCCATTGGCGCCAATGTGTGGCTTAGCGACTGGGCCAACGAGGCCATGTTGGGCAGCAGGCAGAACAACACCTCCCTGAGGCTGGGCGTCTACGCCACCCTGGGACTTCTGCAAGGTGAAGGCCCTTGACCGGCGCCCAGGTCCCTTCCTCTCCTGCTCTCCTTTGGCCGTCCCCACCCACGCCTCTGCCTCCCAGGCGAACCGACGTCCTCTGCCTCTTCCACAGGGGTCCTGGTGATGCTGGCAGCTTTCACCATGGCAATGGGTGCTGTCCAGGCCGCGCGCCTGCTGCACCACACACTCTTGCAAAACAAGATGCGATCTCCACAGTCCTTCTACGACACGACGCCCTCTGGCCGCATCCTCAACCGCTTCTCCAAGGACATCCATGTCATCGATGAGGTTCTGGCCCCCAACGTTCTCTTGCTGCTCAATATCTTCCACATCACCTTATCCACCCTCCTAGTCATCATGGCCAGCACACCGCTCTTCACCGTGGTCATCGTGCCGCTGGCTGTGCTCTACATCTTTGTGCAGGTGCCTGGGAGGGGGCAGGCTCTGGCGCGAACCAGGTGTGGGCGGGGCCTCTGGTGTGGGCGGGGCCTCTGGGTGGGAGGGGCTCTAATGTGGGTGGGGCACTTCTACAGGCTGCCCAACGAGGGGTAGGTTGGGGCGGATTGTGTTAGGAGCAGTAGTCAGTTACTTCACTTAGTTGCCTGTAACGTCCCTGTAAAGATAGATTCTCAGAACCCACCTCGTGGCGTCGATGTGAGGCTAAAATGCATACTTATAAATTGTGATTGGCTCTGGGCTTCTTTCCTGTTCGCTGTCTTTTAGTAAAACAATATTAACACGCCTGTAATCCCAGCACTTGGGAGGCTGAGGCAGGAGGATCACTGCGAGTTGAGTCCAGCCTGGGCTACACAGTGAGTTCCAGAGCAGTCTGAACTACATAGTGAGACCTTGTCTCAAACAACAACAACAACAAATTAACAGCTTGGGACATAGTATCCTCTCCTTCTTTTCATACGTCTCTAGGCATGGGTCTGTAATGTACATGAATTGTTCACATCCAAATACAGCGCCTGTCCAGGCTTGGCAGTCCCTGGGCACCTGCTCCTCCACTGAGTGACCATGATGGGTAGGGTGCTCTGGGGCTAGGCAGTGGCCCCACGTGTCCAGAAGCCCCAGCCACGGTAGAAGATGGAAACTAAAGAAAAGAGTCAGGGAAGCTGAAATAACTGAGGTAGAAGGGCTTTTCCAGAAAAAGGATACAAAATGATCTACTTGTTCGGAAGTTTTACTCAGTCAAAATTATTTGACTGAGTACATTGCCAGGGCCCCTCTGTGGAGCTGGGTGTTTCACTATGTAGGAGGCTAAGCGAGGTCAGTGTTGCGATCCAGGCACACTTACTGTCTGGGGAGTAGTTAAAGCAGGCAGGAGTCAAGAGGGAATCAGGGACGGCTTCATGGAGGAAGTGGCTTGACAGACAGGAAGCTGATCAGAGGGAAAAGTAGAATGTACCTCAAGACCCCGAGACCTCCTGGGAAGAAAGGAGTAGGCATCAAAGCCTCATGGGGGGAGTGGGTCTGGCTGGGAGGAGCCCCAGGGGCACTTGGATGGCTTGGGGGATGGGCAGGACTGAGTTGGGGCTTCCACCGCCGTGACCCAGGCCCTCTCCTCTTCTCTACCAGCGTTTCTATGTGGCCACATCCCGGCAGGTCAAGCGACTGGAATCAGTCAGTCGCTCACCCATCTTCTCCCACTTTTCGGAGACGGTAACTGGCACCAGCATCATCCGGGCCTATGGCCGCACCCAGGACTTCAAGGTCCTCAGTGACCTTAAGGTGGACACCAACCAGAGGAGCGGCTACACATATATCACCTCCAACCGGTCAGAAGCCTCCTCTTCCAGGACTCCCCGCCGCTCTCTGCCTAAAGGGAAAGCCAACTCTTTCCGCAGCACTTATCTCCTCCTTGTCTGCCCGCCCCCAGGTGGCTGAGCATCCGTGTAGAGTTTGTGGGGAACTGCGCCGTGTTCTTCGCTGCCCTGTTTGCGGTGATTGGGAGGAGTAGCCTGAGTCCAGGGCTGGTGGGCCTTTCTGTATCCTATGCCCTACAGGTATGGAGGGACCCCAACTGGGTACCCCTTTCTGCTCAATATGGGGACAGGGCAGGGTCTGCTCTCGGGCACTGTGAGCTCACAGTCCGATGTGGGGGGATTTGCAGTGGGGAGAAGCAAAATACTGGAGAGCCCAGGGGAGTGTCCGGGCTCTTGGGTTGTTACAGAAACAACCTTGGAGGTCGGCCCCAAAGGACAAACAGAACTTGCTGTGTCTGGGGAAGATGTAGTTGGGCCTGACAGAGGTCTGGGCACAGGAGAGTGTAGGGCTGAGGTGTACTTCATGTGCACACATCACCCCCAGAGAAAGTATGGTCAGCCTCTGTGGCTGTGGGATCTACATCTGAGATTTAACTGGCTGCAGATGGGAAATATTTGAGAAAAGAGAATTCGAAATCTCTCACAAAAGCAAGACTGAAATTTGTGGTGGCAAGTACTACACTGAACTCATGCAAATGGACGGATGCGTAGGCGCTGTGTATTAGGTATCCTGTCATCGAGACACGATGTAAAGCATGCAGGGCGGGTGTGCGGAGGTTACATGCAAATGCTGCACCATTTTATATAAGAGACTCAAACATCTGTGGTTTAAAACTCTTTGGGGGGCCCTGGTTACCAAGGGACAACGGATAGATCAGGTGATGGGAGCCTGAGCAGCAGGTGAGGCAGGTCATTCCGACACCAGCCTGTATTGCCAAAGACTTACATAACTGCAAATAGAATTCTTGTAAAGCAGAGCAAACTGTTAATGCCTCAGGTGGCTCAAATCTTGAATGCTTTGCTGAACAAAAGGCGAACCAGGCAGGCCAGGCATCTCAAACATTAATGTGTGCCGGCCACCTGCAGAGCTCGTTAAAATGTACGTTCTGATTCCCCAGATCCAGGATGGAGCTCAGGGTTCTGCATTTCTCCCAAGACTCCCTGGCACATAAAGTGTGGTCCCTGGGCTGGCTGCATTGATGTCTTCTGGGAAACTGTTAGGGATGAAAACTTTCATGCCCCACCTCAGACCCACTGAATCAGAAGCTGCATCTTAACAGGAATCTCTGGGGAGATTTAAATATATTCAAGTTTGAGAAACAAGGAGTGAGGCAGTCCTTGGTTAAGCCTGCTTTGTCACTGCCTGAGGCACAGTGTGATGACAGCCTCAGTCCACACACCTGTGGGTCACAGGCAGGAGAGGATCTCATTGGTAGGCGCACGATCAAGGATGGGACTCTTGTGGACACTGTTGCTCCTGCCATAACCCAGTTCTTTTGGCCAGGTGACAATGGCTCTGAACTGGCTGATACGAGTGATGTCAGACTTGGAATCTAATATTGTAGCTGTGGAGAGAGTCAAGGAGTATTCGAAGACAGAGACTGAGGTGAGTCCTGGGATGACTACAGGCCAGGGGTAAGCCCGGGATGGCTGAGGACGTATGCTTGGTAGCTCACCATGCCTCACATTGAGGCCAACTGTCTAGTAGCTCTCCATTCATCCACCCACCAACCCACCCATCCACCCACCCATCCACCCACCCATCCATGCATCCATCCATCCACTCATCCACCCATCCATCCACCCAATCATTTCTGTCTATCTCTCTAGCCACCCCTCTCCCCGTCTACCCACGATTGACAGGTACAGATGAACAAATCACTTCAGAGGCAGCTTGGTGAAGCTGGGAGGGTTCAGAAGTCAGAGATGCCTGGCTTTGGAGGACGATTCTGCCAATTTATTCCTTGTGACTTTAGGGATGTTTCTGGACTTATGTGAGCCTCACTTCATTCATCTGTAGAGATGGAGCAGAGCTAAGTGGAACTGTATATGTAGAGCACAGAGCCAGGACAGAGTAGCTGCTTTAAAAATGATAGCAATTAATTGCTATTATTATTATTATTATTATTATTATT